GACGGACATCACCTAGGAGACAGCAATCAGCTTAGAGGACAGGGAGCACACAGATGCTGTTTCTGCTCCAGCACTCACTCACTCACACATTGTTTCAGTTCCCTTTCACAAAGCTCTCATGTAAATCCGCTCACAGAGAATCATCAAACTGTTTCACCTCAAACATGTCAAACTACTCTGGAAACAAAACCAGCACATGTGGAAACATTTACAGATTTTACTTCAAAATCAGCAAAACTCCAAACTTCATACAACTTTCAAATATTTTGAGTTAACAAGGACAGAAAAGCAACTCAGTATTATAAAATATTCAAAATGTGGATTTCAATTATCATTTAACAAAATATCATTTAAAACTAACTTTGAAACAACACTTGATGAAATAAAGACATCAGAGATTTAGTTGTTTTTCAGAAAATACATTTTTCTCTTCACTCTGTTCAGTTTTACTCAAAGAAAGTGAAATTAGATTCACATTAAAAACAGATATTGTGGAGGAAAATTAGAAAGAAGTTAAAGGAGAGATAACGTATAATTTCAGCCAGGCTTTCATTTTTTCAATGTTTCTCATTTTCAACATGACAGAAATGTGGACATGAAGTTTCAGCAAAGTTGATCTGAGTCATTCTTCATTATATTAGAGAAACAAAAACATGAACACTAAGGTCCCTATATTTACATATTACACATTTCGTTCTATAAATTGTCAAATGCATAATTGAAAAATATTTACAGTATTGTATTTAGTCATGAGTAAAGTATGAACTTACTTCCAAATTCCAGTCTGGTTCCTCCACCGAACGTGTACCACAGTGATACAAACTGATTGAGCCGTCGTACAAAAACCTCTGACTGTAGAGAGACACGGCTCTCTGACTTTGAAACAAACAAACTCACCAAAATCATTCACTGTTTGTCTCATTTTATCAGCTGATATGAAAACTGAAATTAACACAAGGTTTCACAATTATTATTTTTCAATTTAGTATATATTCGTTTCAAATTAAATTATTGTAACACTGTTCTGGGTATAGATTCATTTTCAAGGAACAAAAAGCAACGTTAAAAAAAATGTCCATTGTAAAAACAAAACATTTTGTACATCATGTAAGATTAAGTACAAATTCCTACTTGATACTCTGACAAATTCAATGAGATATTGACGAACTCTAACAAATGTTTTAAATGACAAAGGAGCTCCAGTGCTCTGGAAGAGTTTATAGTCCTGACAGTTGAAATTTCATTAGTTTTAATTTTCTTACATTAAGATTGTAAACTGTAAAACTGTAAAAAAAAAAAAAAAAAAACAACAACAAAAAAAAAACATCCTAAACATAAAGCATGAAAGACACTGAGTTATTAAAAGTAAATACACACATATTCACAATCAGTTCTGTGATTTTTGAACTAATCCATTCATAAACCGATTCACAAGATATTTTACGAAGAAAAAAAAGACATTTTAAAAGAAGATATATCCAAAAGAATAAACCTGAAAACAAAATCTTGCAACGCATGTTGTGTAATGTTCCTCATCAATACTCCTGATTGATGGATTGATTGATATGCCGCATCATCAGATTGATCCAAGTCCCTGTTGGAGTGAGTCACAACATTTCCATAGAGAGCCACTTTGCATCAGCAGCACCATGCTCCAGTGCTCTGGGAGACTTTATAGTCCTGACACTTGAACACTGGATGACTGACAGCTGTCCTTCATGACAATAGAAGACACAGAAATCCTCCTCATCAAAAACATGACTTTGATCTG